AGCATAATACATCTGAGTACTCCAACCCTCCGAGTGGTGCTTGTTTCTCGGCTGGCCTGTCGTTTCTGTAACACTCTGAATTTGAGGGCAGTACCATATGTTGCAGTTAAGAGGGCAACTCTTGAGTTGGACAGCAGGGGTTCCAGTCGTGCCATCACAATATTATTGTCTATATTACCTCTCCATGGTCAATTTCCTCATCTGTAAAATAGTGACAATAACATTAACTATTCGATAGGATTAAATGAGGTAATGATTAAGAAAAGAAGCAAAACTTAAACATCCTATCACCATCATAGATAAACACTAGTGGTATCTCAACTTTTTTTGGGGGGGAGTACACATATACAGGTATAGCATTTATACCATTGCCATTTAACCTCTTAGTTTGGGACTACTGGAACTACTGGATCCCAGGAAGTCATAAGATTCAGTCCTTTTTTCATGCATTCAACGTCAATATGTGTGGTTGGGGTACAACAGTGAACAAAGTGGACATCCCTGTCCTGGTGGAGTTTATTCTAACTGGGAGAGACACTTTATCTAATAAACACTAAAGCACAAGAAATAGGTAAGTGATTCAGAATGTTTGGTTATAAATGCCGTAGAAAAATAAAAAGTTGAGCCAGGCAAGTGGAGTGTCGTTGGGAATATGGTGGGGGTGGCAGCAGCAGGGTGGGGAACTGTTATAAATGGATAGTTTAGAAAGGCCTGGTGGAGAGAGTGACATTTAAGTAGACTTGAGTAAGACAAGGGGGTTGTCCATGTAAGTCTGAAGGAGTGGTTTTGGGCAGAGAGAGCAACCAGCACAAAACCCTGGCTTTAAGGCAGGAGGAGCCTGTTAGGTTTGAGGAACACACTGTTCTTGAAGGGAAAGGGCACCTCAAGTGTTACCCTGATATCCTTTGTATCTGCCTGTTGCAACAGGGGCCATGGAACCTACATGGGGGAAGAGAAACTCATTGCATCGGTGGCTGGCCCTGTGGAGAGAGTAAACAAGTTGATCTGTGTGAAAGCTTTGAAAACCAGGTGAGAACAAAAGGTGTGTATTCTCTTGTGGCATCCGTGTTGCACAACCAAGTCTTTTCTGCCATGGCTTACCACCCACCCCCATCCCTGCCTGCCCTATCATTCTGTAGGTCTGTGATTTGGGGAACATGACTGTAGGAAAGGTATAGATGACTGCAGGTGAGTGGGGGCTTCAGAGGTTTCCCTCCATTATCTGACCTCTCCAAATGTTGGTTCCCTCCTTTGCGAAATGAGAATTAGCATGACCTACATTGTACGATCTTTTTTTTTCCTTAAAAGAGGCACTGGGGATTGAACCCAGGACCTCATGAATGCCAAGCACATGGTCTACCACTGAGCTATACCTCCAACCCCTGCCTTGTCAGATTTTCATTGGAATTCATTGAAACAGTGCATATAAAGTACTTACACAAAGCCTGCTACCTTCAAGGACTCAATAAAGTCTAACCTCAGCATGGAAGCCAGTGGGGTTCGAACAGTGAGTGCGTGGAGGGGAATACTAGGAGCAGAGGCAGGCAGAGAGCGGAGGTGGGCAGTGAGCCCGCCTTGTAGCCGCAACAGGCGTGTTTGACTTCCACTTTGTGTAATCTAGGATGCCATTGGAGGAGGTAAAGCAGAAGGGGGGCGTGGTTTGACTTCTATTTTCTTAAAATCGCTCTGGCTGTGGGGGTGGGGTTAGGGAGGCAGATTCATGTACTGTTTTCATCATCTGGACTGGTGGTGGCTTGGACTAGGGTGGTAACAGTACAAGTGCGGAGTAGCGATTCATTCTGCATATGTTTTGTGCTCTGAGCGTTTTTGTCATGGAAGCGTGTTGGATTTTGTATTCTTTGGGATTTTCTATACATAGGACCATGTCTGTGAGAAAAGATAGTTTTATCTGTTCCTTTCCAACTTGGATGCCTTTTATTTTCTGCACACATTTTTTAAAGGTAGAGCCAGTAGGATCTGCTGCTGGACTTGTCTTGGTGCGCACCTGCGAGGCTTGGGGGAAGAGAGAGAGAGATCCTCTAAGGACTCCAAGGATGTTGGCTTGAGCAACTGGAGGGGTGGAGTTGCCATTTACTGAGATGGTGACAACTGGGAGAGGATCAGTTTGCTATGGGGGAGGAGAGGGGACCGCTAGAAAGCTTTGTTTTAGGTTTGCAGCAGTCATATAGATGGAGGTGCTGGGTACCAAGCTGTTGACTAGAGTCTTGAATTCAGGGGAATGGTCTAGTCATCACTGGTATTAGAAGCCATTAGGTTGGGTGAGCTCCAAGCCAAGTGTGGGCTGAAAAGAGAAGAGGTCCAGGGACTGAGCCTTCAGCAGGGAGCACTTCATCATTAGAATGGGGATGAGGAACTAGCAAAGGGGCCTGAGACCAGCAGCCACTGGCTGGGGGAGACAGTGAGTAGACTGGTTTGGGTGGTGTCCTGTCTTAATTTCCTTTCTCCTCCTCTGGCTGATGCAGAAGCTATCTGTGTTCTGGAGCCCACCAGAAAATATTCCGCACTTACCGTTTTCACGTAATTAACAAAACAGAGGTTTCAGGCTTAACGAACTACTTGCAACAAACGATTTAATAATAGTTAACAGAGACTTTATACGTTTAGGAATGTTAGAAGGTATCAGTTCCTGAAAATAAGTCCAAACAGCATAGTTATGGGAATTTAGTAAATGTGATGCCTAATCAAGGCCTTCATCCTGTTTAACTGAAACCTCAAATGGCACTTGGTCTTAAAATAAGATCTTTTCACTGATGGATGGGTGACCTTTTGTTTTGTCTTTCAGATACAATGGTGAAGTGGGAGACATTGTCGTGGGGAGAATCACGGAGGTAAAGTCTGTCAGTGGTCTTTACAAAGCAGAAGCAAGCTGGTGATCTAATGAATGGGGTAGTTGTTCTGTGTATTTGCTGTGTTTGGCTCTTACGTGACCTCTGGTGTAAACATTTGTCTTGTGACATTTGGTGTTACTGGTCATTTGCAGTGTCAGCTTTGGCCCCTGCAGTATGTGTCTAGGTGTGGGGTTTCTTTGTTTGTAGGTTCAACAGAAGAGGTGGAAGGTGGAGACCAACTCCAGGCTGGATTCAGTCTTGCTTCTCTCGTCCATGAACCTTCCCGGAGGAGAGCTGGTAAGGGTCTCCGGCTGGTACTGTATGGTTTGCTGGCGAGGGCTCTGGGGTCCTTTGCTGTACCGGAGAACTTGCTTTACACTGAACTTTGCCACTTTTACTCCTGTTTGTCTGCTGTGGAGTTTTCTGCCTGGATGTACACGTAGGCTTTTCCCTTGACCCAGGCCTCCCACCTTAGGCAGCAAGTGGAATGTCCGTAGGGAGTGATCCCAAAAGAGTCGAGAGAAGCTCTCAGATGCTTGGTGCTAATGATTTTCCTTTTCTGGATGTATCAGCTTTGCTCATTGAAGGTGTTCCTTGGAAAGTTGTGTTTAGATTAGCTTTTTGTGAATTGAATGTTACTTGGCTTTTCCAGACAACCACAGTACCTAAGCTGCATCCTTTTGTAAATGCCATGGTTCAGCTTTATCTTGAGTCCAGCACGTATTTACAGAGAGGGTCATTGTGCCTGGCTCTCTGGAGAATGCCAAGATACAGGAGGCATGACTGAGTTCCTGAAAGAGCTTATAGACTAGTGGGGGTGTGAGATAACGGATCCAAATACCCTGCAGTCAGAGAACAAACAAGCATGTGATTGTGCAAAAGGAGTGATTAATTTCACTGAGAGCTGCTTGTAGGAAAGATGGGTGTTGGACTTGATCCTTGAAGAATGGACAGACTTAAAACGATGAGTTCAGGGAATCTGAGATACAGGGAAATGTGTGAGCAAAGATACAGCCAAGCAGAGGTGGTCTGGTTCTGTGGGGCATGGAGGGCTGCCACACAGCTAAGTGCGGGAAGGTGGGCCGGGCTGGATTGGGAGGGTGTTGAATATCAGGTAAGGAGTTTGAATTTTATTCAGAGGAAGAAGAAGGGGAGCTGTGGGAAGGTCAATAAGATGGAAAGTAGTGGTTATGGCTTTGTTTTCCTTGAGTATTACACATTAACTGCTCTAGTGTTTAACAGTGTGGCTGGCTCAGATCTTGGGAGGAAGTAAAAGAGAAAGAAGAGTTAGAGATCTTCTTTTAGGATCTGACTTCAGTGACGTGGCCATCTCTGTGTATTTCAGAGGAGAAGATCTGCAGAAGATGAGCTGGCGATGAGAGGTTTCTTGCAGGAAGGGGACCTTATCAGTGTATCCTGCACCTCACATTTAAGCATCTTTGTTCTCTATGGAGCTGAGAAATGGGGCCTAAATTACAGGTCTCATACAGCAGAGACACAAAATCCTGGCAGGGATCTGAGTCCTTGACCAAGTGTCGAGGGCTCTTCTGCAGCCTCTCTCCGTCTCCTTAACCCAGGCTGACCTCCAGCTCTTGTTCAGAGCTGCTGCTGCTCAGTCATGGCTCTGGGACTTGTAACTTATGGTGGCCATGCCACCATAAGCTAACTCAGATTTTCTTAGTGCTGTTAACTTTTACCCCAGGGAGTAGAAATGGTAGTGTTCATGTCAGGATATTCATGACAGCTGCAGGGGAGAGGTCAGGTCACAGCAGTGTGGGTCTGTCTGTCCATGACTGCAAGTGGGACCACTGGACAGAGAGGAGAGGATGGAGTGGGGAGCCAGGGATGCAGGTGACATGAAAGTGTTTGTTCCTTCATCCCTGCGGCCAGGCTGAGGTCCAGGCAGTGTTCTCTGATGGAGCCGTCTCTCTGCACACGAGGAGTCTCAAGTATGGAAAAGTAAGTTGGGCTCTGGCTGTTCCCATTTGCTGACTGAGATTTCCAGTCCGTTTCCAAATCCCCAGCGCTCTGGGATTCTGACCTAGGGAACTCCAGAAGTTAAGCGTTAACAGGCTGGGGGGCGTTGTAAAGGCCGACAACTCTTACCCTTTTTCTCCTGAGGAGACCGTTCTAACGGAAGAGCCCGTGTGGGCCTGCTGTCCCTGCTGTCTCCCGGGGGCCCGGCAGCTTTGCATTGTATCTGCGCTGGGAGGCGGTCCTCGGAACGGAGGGAGGTCGCGGACTGGTGGAACAGGATGGCCTCGCCCTCAGACAAATGTCCAGTCGATAAAATGGGTATTACTGTTAGGGAAGATGGGCTTGTCACTTGAGCCTCTAAATGAAATTCACTGCTTTTCTATAAGGTGACATTGTTGAGGCTGTTTATTTTTTCAATGACAGCATATCTTCCAAAAGAAATGATAATTTATTAGTCTCTCTCGGCTTTATCTGGGTGAACTTTTTCATTTTCTGAGTGGGACAGAAACCTCTCTCCTTAATGGAGTGGCTCCAGCCAGCCACGTCCTTGCAGCAGGAGATGGAACAGCTGCGCTGCGCTGACCTTCCCGGGCCGGGGTCCTGTCGCAGACGCTCCCTCAGCGGGATGTGGGCCTTGAGCTGACCTGCCAGGGCCCGGGCAGATTTGCACCCAGCCCTAGGCCAGTCCCCTTGTCCAAGCGCACACGCCTCACGGGCAAGATAGGTGGTTGGGGTCAAGGTGGAACAGGACAGTGCCCCTTGGCCCACAAGGGGCTCGAGCCCACGTCCCCATTGACTCTGGCTTCTCAGACAGGCATTGCACCAGCCCTGGGTTAGACTGTGATGATGATTGCAAAGGGAAATAAATGGTAGAGGAGGATTGAAAGGCACCTTCTGTTGGGATATGTAAACGACTTAATGTATCCGGAAGCGTTCTCTGTTACTGTTTTCTACGTATGTGCACGTAGGAGCAGTTATTAACAGGAAGGGCCCTGATTCCAGTGTAACTAGGACACACAGTCTGTAATCCACTTTTCATTCACTTCACTGATGATCCTGCAATGACTTAATTTACAATGTATTTTTTTAGCTAGGGCAGGGTGTTTTGGTTCAGGTTCCCCCCTCCCTGGTGAAACGGCAGAAGACTCACTTCCATGACTTGCCATGTGGCGCCTCAGTGATTCTGGGCAACAACGGCTTCATCTGGATCTACCCAACACCTGAGCACAAAGAGGAGGATGCAGGGGGCTTCATCGCAAACCTGGAGGTGAGTAAATGGCATTGGCTGCTGCTGGGACGGAGTGGCACGTGGTCTGTGCTGTGCTTCGGTGGCAGGTGGAGCTCACTGTGCAATTACTGCATTGCTGTAGTTCGAGTTGGTTTGAATTTCCATTGAGGCGTGTTCAAAACAATGTATTGCCGTGTCTTGTTCTGAGGAGGTGAAATCAGCGACTGGTTTGATCTTTGTTGGCAGAGGTGGTAAATGCAGGGTAGCAGCCGAAGAGCCACTGAAGAAGCCATCCTTTTTAATCTCCCTGGGAGTTAGCTTTTTGATTAGTTTGGAGTCCCAGAGTGATACTGTCTAAGTTATTTTTTATTTTTATTTTTTAATTTTGTTGTGGGGAGGATTAGGTTGGTTTGTTTGCTTGATGTAGGTACTGGGAATTGAACCCAGGACCTAGTGCATGCTAGGCACACGCTCTACCTCTGAGCTATACCCTCCCTGCTTTTGCCTAAGTTATAAATGATTTCTGTGATTGGCTGTAACTATCAGCTTAATTTGGCCCTGATTATATTTCCCTCCCCTGTCATCCCCTGGTAGCCTGTCTCCCTTGCTGATCGAGAGGTGATCTCCCGGCTTCGGAACTGCATCGTCTCGCTGGTCACTCAGAGGATGCTGCTGTATGACACCAGCATCCTGTACTGCTATGAAGCCTCCCTTCCACATCAGGTACTCCCCCCAGGGCTCCCGTTTTCCTCACTGATCTGTGAGTGGGCCTCACGTGTCCTCTGACCCCGTCTCCTCGGTGATAACAGGCACATCTCCCAGGTACCTTGCCCATGTCCGCTGGTGTGAACTGATCTGGTGGACAGCCTCACCGAGTACCTGATAGAGGTTTCCCCAATGAATCAGTAATACTCTCAATGTCTGACGGCAGTGTAAGGATTTGGGGTGGGGGTGGGGTGCAGCACGGGGCTAGTTTATGACAGCAACCCTCTGAACTTCATCTTGTCCATCCCAGATTTTAGCTGTCTTTCTGGTGAATGCCAGAGTAATATCTTTGGCTGTATTATCAACTATAGCCCAGAGAATCTTGCTGATTTATTAAGCTGGTTGTAGCAGATCATATCTTGTAATTCTTAGCCTCAGATAAATGAAAGGAAAACAGAAAGTTACATTAACCATGCTTGGCTTCCACATTTGGATTGGCTTGGTGGTCTGCTTATGGTTGAACAAATACCCTTTCCCTTTCTTTTTCAGATCAAAGACATCTTAAAGCCAGAAGTAATGGAGGAAATTGTGATGGAAACACGCCAGAGGCTTTTAGAACAGGAGGGATAAGGAGAGGCATTTAAGGGGCAGGACTGTGTGTACCTGACTGAAGCAGTCCTTGAAAGTGAAGGGTCTGACGTGTGGTCTCCATGTGCGGCTCAGTG